AGTAATTTATTAAATTATTTCAAATGTTATTGAATCTATAACCGTTGTTTAGATTAAAGCTTTATGTCGAGTACTGACAATAGCTAGAGTCTCTTAATTCATGAGGAAAGCAGTAAGTTATGTTTTTACTGTAATAATTAATGTTATTGATATAATGTTTGTCGCTAAACAAGACTGTGATTGTTTTCATTACAACAGATCATTGTTATCGTGGTCAAAACAACGATGGTCAATTGTAACCCTACGCATTTTCATTTATTATGATCATTGTAATGTACAAACATAACATCTACGCACTTTCATTGTTAGTTTTGTTCTGTGCAATACCATTCATACGCTAAATTTATATTTTACCAAAAAAATATCCATTATATTCTGGATTCCAATTATTCTTTAATTCAGAATAATTTGATAAATATTTTACCTTCATCACAACTCGTTTACTGCATTATCTTGAAGACAATCTCTTCATCGAATATTATTCATAAACTGTATGTTGAAATTATCTGAATCAGTTAAATTGTGACTGTTTGTTAGAAATTAAACTGCTAGTAGTGACAGTAATTGACGATCCATTGTTTCATTTGCACTATTTAAACTTGTGTTAATTTAACTCGGCTATTTATAAGCTCTGAAGAAGTGACTTACATTAAGTCAAGAAACGTGAAAAAAAAACAATTTTCTACTCACTGGTATATAAGAAAATATATTTATTATCAAATTTTCACTCAATACTCAGTTTACTTGAAACCATCAGGTCTAACCTTGGCATTGGTACCTACTAGTGATGACGTCATTGGAACATAAGTCGATCGTTGGGAATAATATATCTCAATAGTTGAGATCATGAGTCAGTTGAAGCTAGACCATCATGGAAAACCTGGAAGCACTGGAAGACCGTTTCGTCCTATTGTGGGACTCCTCAGCAGTGCGCATCAACGATCCCGTCTTGCGAGAATCGAATCCAGGACCTATCAGTCTCACGCACGAGCGCTTAACCTCTAGACCGCTGAGCCGGCATCCAACGATGTTAATGTCTAACTTCAACTAATCCACGAAATTGAGCGACACATATACCAATGTCTTCAATGAGTTTGCAGTGCCGTGCTTCGTTAATCGTTCACCCTGATAACCCTTATAATTCCTATCTTAACGGTGCATAAAAACCAGAAGGCAAAGGAGAAGCGGCAACTACAGTTTTATTAACAAATAACGCACATTGGAGATGGCGGGTAAGCCAACTCACATCCAATCAAGCGCTAACCAATATTTATAGTCAGACAAGGATAAGTTACAAACATGAGATGAATAGGATAAGAAGTGTACACACATACGCTCATATAAAATTAGTCAGGGTTAACAAGTGAATAATTAACAAGGTCCAAACATGACTCAAGATAGATAGGTAAATCGGCTTGTCCTGAAGCTATAATATGGTATATGGGCTAAACATATCAATCGACACTACAAGCTACTATCTCACAACAGACCTGGTTCATCTCCACTGGTCAGTGCTTCTCACTAGAACTCCAGGAAATACCTCCTGGTGCCAGTCACTAGTAAGCATATGTTGATTAGTATCAGAAGGGGTTTTTGTGGATATCATAGTAATTTTAATAGTAGAGGTTGATTAAAATTACTATAATATCCACAAAACCCCCTTCTGACATTAATCAACATACGGCCGTCCAGTCCTTTCGGGGTTTCCATGGTGGTCTAGCTTCATTTGACTCATGATCTCAACTATTAAAATTACCATAATATCCACAAAACCCCTTTCTTGTATAAGTGTTCTTTTTCATTTCATGACATGATGAGGTCTGATTTGCTTGTATATAAACTACGTATGTCTGAAATACATGATCCATACAACGGAGGTTGATATTGGTGTTCTGGATTGGGTTGGCTGAGTTAGGCGAAAAGCTACTATCATGGACGACCGATCAGAATCTCACAGTTGATTCTAGGGTGCTCGTACTGGTTAATGCGTCATTGATTTGGTATAGTATCAAGGTCATATAAGTCGGTGTTCTAATTGATAGAATTATTCACGTGATATAATTAACAGGACATAGAACACAACGTTTCCAAGGTTTCTTATTTTCATTTCTTCACCTATTCTTAAAGTCATTTAGGTAGTGAAAGAAGGAAATAAGATCAGACTGTCAATAAAGACAAAAATATTTGGACATACTACTGTAACCTTATTAATTAAAAAAAATATTACATATGTAATATTTTTCAAAGTAATGCCAACCTCTTTAGACAAATATTGGTTTACTCAGATATATGTGTCTGTACACACATAAAAATCAACTAAAGCAGTAATAAAGTGAGTTCTGACCTTTGGCCTATTCAAATAATCCATTTGTCCCTCTGAACTTATTTCTATTTCAGTGCTTGCAATAACTCATTATTATGTTGATTGGTCATACGATTTTTGCATATTCGAGCTGATCACTAGTACAATATTTCATTTATGCAATATCAACCAAAATTTAGGAACTAACTAATTATTTGCCGACATCCTGCTGAGAATTCGCTTGATAATCATTGTTGGTATGGGAACAAAATGGTTGTATGAAGGAACCAAGTCCTCCTGATTACTGATTGTGAAAATAAAAATAAAATCACAAGTTGGGATTCAGCCTGAGGGTATGAGAGGTAGACTATTTATATATGACAAAATAACCCACCAGACTGGCTTATGTTTATTCAATCAGCATGTATATACTCAAAGTTTGAAAATATTTAGCAAATGTGTACAGATTAGAAATTATAAATCATTATAACTTTTCTAACCTTGACCACTAAATTGTTTGGGTGAAATTAAATTCAAAAATGAGTATATTTTGATGTCTTAACGAAGTTTTGGCATCATTCCATATAGAAATAGACGTGGTGTCCATTGTTTTTCTACTTATCCTACATCACTTGTAACTCCCCCTAAACCCGTTAAAACTTTACTGTCCGTCCCAAGCCCGGATATAGGATGAGGGTCAGAAAACTCATTCCATGGAAATGAACTTTGTTAAGAAAACGATAGCCAGATAAATTATTTTTAATATTACTTTTACCAAATAAATAATAGACTATATTTAGAATAAAGGTAACAGATTCGACTATCACATAATTGCATATGGAATATGTATTAACATTTTATACGGTTTAATGCCTAACTGAATATCTCAGAGTCAAACGGTGGTTTGAGGAACAGACGAGCACAAGATTTTTGTAGGAATGGAAATTACTATCATGATTTATATGATCCCTACAAAAATAGATCAATAATATTTAAATTATATTAAAACTTCAAACGACCGATATTCAACGGATGAGAACAGGATTTTAGAGAGTAACCGATTATAGTCTCTTGAGATAATTTTTATGTTTCATTGAATCTCCAAGCACTTATCAACACAAGTACATTAGACAGAACTCGCGTATTCATTTGAATGTTTCAAACGGTCTGTAGTTTAGGGTACCTTAAATATTCGTAAATTAATCACTGTCTGACAGCTGAATGAATTATTCAGTGTTAAATTATGAAACTCTCAAATTAATCAACAAACTACTGACCTCAAAATACCTTTGTCATTTTAGAGTTGACAGTTTATCAGTTTACTTGGTGTTCTTTGCCCCCAAATACCCTGGTACGACCAAGAGTGGAAAAAGTCCGCTCTCCCTCTCGAAGTGTAAGCCACTTCCTCAGAGAATAAATAACTAAATATTCTCTGAGGAAGTGGCTTACACTGAGTCACGAAACGTCAGAAAATCTAATTTTTCTACTCATTAGGATATTACAAATATCTTATTTATTTACATCAGTATAATAGATTACAAAGTAAAAAGACGTTTGTAATATACCTGAAGGCAGGTTTCATGAAGACATCAGTTTATTGTAGCTTAACTAAACACACGGCGTTCGCAAGCTGGTTTATGTAGGGATTAAGATCAATATTCACTAAAGAAGATTCAGGACCAACGAATTCTCCAATAAGGCAAAGGTTTGTGTTGTGAACAAGTTAGAGTGTAGAATAGTCCAGAATCCACCTGGTGTCCATGGTCTGTCGTGATAATTGAAAGACAGTCGAAGTCTGAGACTCATCGTTTGATGAAGGAGTGGGCCACTCTTTCAGTAATAATACCCGTGAAAGGCACTGATTCCTGTCGTCGTGTGAGATGATCCACACATGTTGAGAGACAGGAATATTCATCTGAGTGTCGGGAGCTGTAAAGAAACCTACAAGTTCGACCTCTAAAAGTCGGATGATGAATGACTTGTTGCCAAAAGAATGTCTATGATAGTGTTAAATAAAAACGAGAAGTAAATTATCAGACCTATTTACACAGAAAGAGTCTGGAATCAGCAACTTCATTCGGCAACAGGTAATCAGATTTCACTTTCGTCACATATTTTTTTCTAAACTCCTGCTTGACCTTCCTAGGTTTATTGCCAATTCCTAACACAGATGAAAGAGGAGGGTTGGGCTTGCAATTAGCATCCTTAAGCCTTGTTGAAATCAAACACTAACCCAGAAAAATCATTGTAGCCATTTAAAGCATCATTTTTATTAACTTTCATCTTAAACCAATGAATTTATCACAGTTCACACAATGGAAGATGGTCGCGTAATGTCGTGGATTGATTGAGGTTAGATATTGACATCGTTGGATCCCAGTTCAGTGGTCTAGTGGTTAAGTGTTTGCGCACAGGTCGTGGATGTGCACTCCAGAGTAGTATCTACTAGGACGAAACGGCTATCCAGTGCTTTCGGCTTTTCAATGGTGATCTAATTTAGCTCAGTTCAGGATTTCAATGAGTTTGTTGTACGAAGTCGATTCTCTACGATATTTATACCGTTATTTATCAAATTCCAGGTTCCATATATAATAGACCAACTTTACACAGTCAATACTTTGAACAGTAACTGAGCATTCAACACTAATTTTGACCTACATAAGCTTGAGAAATCGTCATAACAATTCTAGCACTGGTATACAAATTGGATTTTTTCTGGCAAAAATTTTATTTTGGTCATACCATAAAAAATGTTATTCTCTGAGTATTATTTATGGCCAACGAAATGCAGGTGGGATTAGGGTTATGAGACTTGTTTATGGTTAGTATCACCAATGTCCTGTATGAAGAAATCACATCGAATGTTTCTAATGTCTTTCACATAGGATGACTAATATTCCATTCTGAATTTATTGTCTGTTGAAATGCATATTCAAGCCATCCGAAATGACATGATTCAGTTGTTCATGTCTGATGTGAAAATGGCCCAACCTTTGAAAAAAGTAACTGAATTCACTAATTCTAAAGGATGCATTATTCATTATTGGATAGAAGAAAATGAACACGAAGGTTATTCCATTCACCTCTGTATGAGTGGTTGAAATCCAGGTGGCTAGAGTGGGAGGGTGAGGAGGATGATGGGTCTCATAACCCATGAACTTATAATCGATTTTTGCATGTCAGGTGACGAGGGTGGGTATGTGGACACAGGGTGGTGTTTGCTCTCATCTCTCTCACCCAAACACGTTTTATCATGGTCCTAGACCCAATGGGCTGAATAAATGAATTGACCCTGAAAAAAGGACTGATATTAATTTTCTCACCCCCAGGCCATTAATATGTCGTTCACATTTGGATAAAAGTTTATGGCTTGGGCCTAATGGAGCATAGGGTGAACATGATAGGACCGATAAAACTTATTTGCGCATAATCACGTTCTTCATTTTCCCTCTTGGAACCATATTCATTTATTAATGTGCAAGATCTCATTCGATCAACTGAATTACCTATTATTTGAATTATGTTATGGCTTTGCTGAAGTTTGGAAGAACGCAAGACGTCTCTTTAATAGTAGAAAAATCTAAAAAGTTGGACTTTGATGTTTCATCAAGTGTTCATGAGTTCCTCTCTCTATCACCAACTGCATCAACTAGAGGTAAATATAAACGAACAAAACTACTGAAGAACCGGTCTTCATTTACCACTGATCCACATCAAACTACTGCGATGGAAAAAGAAAATATATATTCGAATCGCACAAGTGGACTAACTCCAAGTGCCAAACGTCTACACATGAGCTGTTCTGCGTCAGCTTCACCCATAAAGTCAATAGTAATCCCTAAACGTCCAACACGGTCCCTGTCAAGTAGTCCTTGTGAAACACTTGGGACTCATCCCTTGGGTGATAACTTAGATGACATTTCTGTTCGTCGACACAAATCTACTGATAATCAATGCATTTTATCGGATTTATCATCCATTGTACCCAGTCCAAACATATTTTCGAATGGGATTTTTGACTTCACAATGTGTGATCAATGTTCTGATTTACGATCTCAATCATTAGATTCTTGGATGGACCATTTAGGTGAATTACATCCTGTACCAGTTCATTGGCCAAGTTCACGTGCTGATTGCCTTAGTGAGAAAGAAAAAAAAAATCCTTATACCACAGTTGTTGGTTCTAACAAAAAACGCAAAGCATCTGCGATTCCACGACCGCTAAATAGTTTTATGGTAAGCCTTTATTCTCAGTTTTCCTGGTGGTTTGTATATTTGAACCACATTTACTTTATACATTAATTGATTCTGAAGCAAACAAAACTTACATAGTTCTACAACTAAGTACACTTTCATGTACTCGGCGTTTATTCACATAGTATTTCAAGGGCTAGTCATACTAAATAACTGCTTATATTAAGTAATATGGAGCGAAATTCCAGCTTGACGGGTAATGGTCAAAAATCCTGCTACTATTTTGTAACAGGGTTGTTGATCTCAGTCTCACTTCCCGTATCTCGCAATAAAATAATGTTTTACTTCCAGGGTTTCACATTTTTAAAAGTAGCGTGAATAATAAGGAAAGAGAATATTTAGTGTATTCATTCATCTTTGGTTATCGATTTAATCACTTCTGTAGACCAACTACTAGTATCTCACTCGAGTCAATTATATACAGTATTTGACATGAGTCAAGCTAAAAATTTATTTCATTGTTGATATATCAGTGTTAATTGAGATCTATTTATCCGAACATATTACTGTGATACATGTGCAGATTAAGTTTTTCTCAGTTCTGTAAAAGTACATCAGTTTTGTAATTGCCATTTGTAAAAACCTCATTATTTTTTTCGCGTATGCTTGTTCCCTACAATTCTCCATTGTAGTTGGTTGGTATTAGTTGTTCAATCACTGTTATTTGTTTCCTCTAATCGACTCTTCATTATTGTCTGTCACGTAGCAGCATAGAGTCGTTAGGTTTGTAGTAGGCCTTTCATTTAATGATGGTATTTGTTTCTTTATTTGAACACATAAATATTGGTACAAAAAAGCATCAGATAAATATGTGCTAGACAAATATCATTTGATTTGTGTGACGGCTGTGACACTGCCCGGGGGTCCAAACTGGTCAGGTGGTTTTCTTAGGAGGCCACACCCGTGGAATTGACCTAAAAGTCTGATCCGCAAGGCAGGGGAGCATCTTAAGGAGATGCAGTCCCATGGTAGCCGGTGACCAACAATTGGTTAATACGTTATTTGTTCCCTCAGGATACTGGAGCCCATGTGCACCATTGGTTTGGAATCAGGGTTTTTCAACTCCCCTAGATGATCTTTCCGTGTCCATCAATCCGGTTAAAGCGCCGGACATTCGCTTTTCGTCCTCTCAATTTCGTAAACAACACCCACGCCACGAGAAGGCAGTGAGTAGGACTTCTCGGGCAGATGCTATATACGCGTGGTAACAAGTCTCTGAAGTTATACTTCGTATCATATTCCTGTTATATTGGGCTTTTTAATTATTGTTATTTTCTTTGAAATGTACATTAAGTAATAGGTCGTTTTATATTTATTAAATGTTTCACCTCTATCTTTATTTACAGGGTAATAATTAGTGTATGAACATTTTATCATAATTAGTGGGATTGTAGATTTCCATTTTCTTTTTCTTTTTACATTCACTTTTATTAATGAAGTCTATGTTTTATACATCATTATTTAGCCATTCGTTGAGCTAAAAAGTTGATAAGTATATCAACGTTACCTCTGTATATTGATAAGCCTACAGCACATAACATTCAGTCAGTCAGTCAGTCACAACGTAGAACTTCGTACGTACGTACATCAGTTCGAGTTGCCATACCACATTAGCACAGAGATGCAGTTGTCGATTCAAATCCCATAGTGGTAGAAGTAGTAAGAGTATAGTCAGAAATCCAAAAGATTAGGGTTTGAAGAAATTATTGAAGGAGTATAGTACAGTGAAATAAATTTGGAAAGAGAAAAAGATAAAGACATGAGGAATTCAGAAGGTTAGAATTTGGTAGAACACAAAGAGTGGATACACCTTCGCCATTGCAAACGATTTTGAGCCATGTCATTCAAGGTCTCTAACCATCGGTTGCTGTCATCTCGCGAATCCCAACCAGGTAGTCTACACCTACCAACATGGCCCAGTCCACTTGTCAGTGACTTCATTGATTTGTGCCACGTTTTGGTCTGGCCACCCCTAGCTTTCTTCCAACCTACTCCTACACCATGAAACATTGCACGTCGGGGCAGTCTGTGGTCGGGCATACGTAACACGTGTCCCAGCCATCTCAACTGATGAAGTTTCACTACTTCATCAATCGATTTGCCATCCCTACCTAGCACTCGTTTCCTAACAACTGCATTACTTACCCGGTGGTCCCAGGATATATGAGCAATGCTTCGAAGACACCTATGATCGAACACTAGTAGCCTACGAATATCCTCTACTCTTATTGGCCATGTTTCACTGCCATAAAGTAGGACGGAGCGAACTGCTGCACAGTAAACCCGTCCTTTGGTTACTAGACGGATATCTCGTCTACGCCATAAATGACGCAAGTTGGCGAAAGCTAGACGAGCCTTCTGTATCCGTGCTGAGATTTCGTCAAACACCAGACCACAAGGGCTGATGAGACTCCCAAGATAAGTGAAGTGGTCTACACGCTCAACTACTTCACTCCCTATCATTAGTTCAGGTGTCGCTGCAACCCAATCCTGAAGTAACATTTTGCACTTCGAGGGAGAGAATCGCATCCCGAACATGCCTGCATTGTTGCTTATAGTGGTCAGAAGACTCTGCATTTTGTCAGCGTCTTCACCGAGTAAAACTATGTCGTCGGCGTATTCTAAGTCAACAAGTGAGCCTCCCGGTAAAAGTTCAACTCTTGGAGGTTTAGCTGATGAAAGTGCTATCTCTAAAAGTATGTCAATGACAAAGTTAAACAAGAATGGGGAGAGTGGACAGCCCTGACGAACGCCACTTGTGGTAATCAGTTCTGATGACAGTTCGTCATAGGCTCTAACTCGACCAGTTGTGTTCGAGTAGAGAGCCTTTATGAGGCTAATGTATTTCTTTGGTACTCCTTTCAGTGACAAACATTGCCATAGAACCTCACGATCAACGGAGTCAAATGCCGCCTTAAGGTCAAGAAATACTACTATTGTGGGACGTCTGAATTTGTGTCTATGTTCTAGAACCTGACGTAGGGTGAATATCTGGTCTATGCAACCACGTCCAGGTCGAAAACCAGCCTGGTTTTCTCTAGTCTGCTCTTCACGATCTTTGGTTAGGCGACCTAATATTATTGAAGCTAATATTTTAGACACTATGTTAGTCAAGCTGATCCCTCTGTGATTGTCACAAGAGGACTTTTGTCCTTTCTTATAGACTGGCACAATCAGTGATTGGGACCAGTCAGATGGAATTACGTCCAGTTCCCAGATTCTACCTAAGACCTCAGTCAATCTCACTGCTAGTACTGGACCACCATCCTTAAAAATCTCAGGGGTCAACCTGTCAGGGCCTGCTGCTCTCCCTCGCTTCAGATTTCCTATAGCTTTTTCAACCTCGCAGAGGGTTGGAGGACTTACATCAATTTGCCATGCAGGACGACTGGGGATCGTGGGTAATTGAAGTGTGGCTGAAGGCCAGTTGAACTGATCCCTAAAGTGTTCTGCCCATCGATCCAATCTCCTGGATTGAGAATGAATAATATGCCCATCTTTATCTGAGATGGTTTCACTGATATTCGGGTTCCTAATACCGGTTTCTTTAACGAGTCTGAATAGCTGCCTACTGTTACCTATTGCCGCTGCCTTTTCCATCTCTCTTGCTTTCACTACCCACCACTGTTCACGATCATTACGTAGGCTTCTTATAAGCCTGCGCTTAAGTTGACTCCGCTCTTCGTTATGCTCAGAGCCAGGTGGGATGAGTTTACGAGCATCTATCAGTGCGGTAGATGCTGCCGAGATCCATTGTTTCTCCCTAACCTTATGGTTTACCTTACTAGCAGATATCACTGCTGTTTCCACAGCTTTTCGGATGTCATTCCACGCTGCCTCGGGGTGGACACAACTTACATGGCTGCCTAACTGTTTTTCTAGTTGTTCCTGAAATATATTCTTAGCTTGCCTATCATTAAGTAGAACCCTTAGAGGCTTCCCTGCAGTGTCTTTCCTACGACCAGTAAGACGCAGACAGATACGTGCTCGCACTAGAGCATGATCTGAATCTAAACATGTGCCCCAGAATGAGCGACAGTCTTCTATCGAGCCCCTCCATCGGTGGCTGATAGCGATGTGATCTAATTGGGTCCAACGTTGGGACGAATTCGGGGGTCGCCATGTCAAAAGATGTTTTTCCTTATGCTTAAAGTTAGTATTTGCAAGAAATAGGCGGTCATCTGAGCATAGCTGCAACAGACGGTCGCCATTATCTGTTCTTTTCGCCATGACACCATAAGATCCACCCAGGTGTCTTTCCCTTTCACTTAGTTTACCTACTTGAGCATTAAAGTCACCTGCTACTATTACTACATCAGAACGCCTAGCTTCTCGGAGAAGGTCAGAAAGTTTCCTTTAGAACTCATCTTTTATATCGTCTGAGCTGCAGTCAGTGGGAGAGTAGGCAGAGACAACGAAGAGGCAACGACGAGTTTCCCTATCTTTCCGGGTCCTTACTGATCCGTTTAGTCGGACAGCGCATAGACGACTGTCTACTGGGATCCAGTCTAAAAGAGCTAGTTTTGCCCTAGGACTTAATGCTATACCTACTCCAGCGAGGCCACGGGAAGCAGCGTCAGGGCTTCCAGATACACGAAGCGTGTATCGAGATGAAACTTTAATTTGATTAGGTGCGGTCAAATGAATGACACTACTCGGATCTTGTATGCGCTTTTCGGAGACGCAGCACACATCGATGGTGTAAGATTCAAGAGTCCTAGCTAAGGAAGCCTGTTGTCCTATTTGGCACAATGTTCGGACATTAAAAGTTCCTATATGTAGTTTAGAGCGTGGTTTCAGGAGACCAGGAATAACGTTCTGTGTACTCGAATCGTTTGCCCTAGCAGTGCGAGGTGATAAAAGGACGTTGGAAGGGTTAGTCGTGGAGATAACAGAGTTATTAGGTGTAGGAAGGATTTGAAAGCGACCAACTTGGTCTTGTGTGCAGTTAAGGGTATGAGGGCTAGTATCACTTCCCGGCT